CGGGCTTTTTTTCACGCGGACCTTTACCGGACTCATATGTTAGTGGGCCAACCTAGCCCGGACCACACGGATTGACACCTCTACATTTTGGTACAAATGGAAAAACTCAGTCCACAATTTATTTTTTTGCTTACAGTTGACATTTTCCGAATTTAGACATGTCAATGTTCCTCATTATTTAATAAGGAGAATCTTCTCCTCTCCTTCATATTCATTTGGACAAACGGCGACTTAGACATCAAGAAAATTCCATACGATTAATTTCTGAAAAGTCAAAATAATACAATTCTATTTAATCGATTGATTGATTTTTTTTCTCAAGTTTTTCCAACTTTTTTGTCCATAAAGTAGCAACTGAATTTAATAAACCATTGGCATTAATCTTTTTTAACGACCTGAAGAAGACAATGCCTTTTCATTTATCTGGCAGCAAAGCTGGTTCAAAAGTTTCCAGTTTTTCTTCTCTCGTTCTTGCATCTTTTGTGTTCCCTTTTTGTCTTAGGTTAGCAGTAGAAGCAGACAATTAATCAATTTACCTCACCCAAATTAGCTTAATCTCAGCATCACTCTTGTCACTCACTGAAATTAGTCAATTTACCTTATGTATATTTTTCCATACATAGCTTACTGTACGTCTATTTATTTGTAAGAAGCTCAATACAAAATTAATATACAGTTTTATACCAATATTCTTCTCCTTCTCCTTCTTAACATCGTATCAGTCTAAAGAAACGATCCATCTATTCTGCCATGGCCGCCAACAACAACACACACATTTCCTCTCCTTGCCTTCTTCATCCCTCGGATTCTCCGAGTCTAATTCTCGTTAATAACCTTCTCACAGGCGACAACTACCCCAAATGGCAAAAAGCCATGACCAAAACCCTTAATGCCAAGAACAAACTTGGTTTTGTTGATGGCAACCTCACACCCACTGAATCAACCAAACCAGAATATACTGGTGGAACCAAACGAAGGATATGGTACTTACCTGGATTCTCAACTCCATCAGCCCTTCCATTGCCAATTTTCTTGAATACCATACCGATCCATGCGATGTCTGGCTTGATCTCTCTTCCTGTTTCTGCCATGGAAACAATGCCAGCATCTACCACCTCAAACGAGCCCTCTCTTCCCTGCAACAAACCACAACTTCTGTCCATGATTACTACAACCAAATCAAGTAGATTTGGGATGAACTTGGCCACCTCCAAAACCTAACTGACCTCAAAGGCCTGCAAAAACAGGTTGCGATGAACGTGTTTTCCAATTTCTTCTTGGGCTAAATGACTCATTTGCTTCTCTTCGCACCCAAATTCTGGCCATGGATCCACTTCCCTCCATAAGCAAAGTCTTCTCAATATTGTTCCAAGAAGAACAACAGAGACTCCTCAATCTTCAAGCACCTCCTCTGAAACGCTTGCAATGGTTGCCTGCACTATTTCCCATCCACGAACCACTCTGAAATGCACAGCGTGTGGCAAAGATGCCACACGCGTGAACGCTGCTAGACCATCATAGGGTATCCCCCAGGTCGTGAGCCTTGCATCAACAAATCTCGACCATCCATCTTGGGGAAACCTCTGTCGACTGCAAATCAGGTCTCTCTCACTCCATCCCCTTTAATTCCAGTCCTTAGGTTGTCGCCAGAGATGTATCAGAAGCTGATCAGCCTCCTCGCACCGTCGCCAACTCCGACTGATCCATCTCCTATAAATTTCGCAGGTAACCTCTTCTCCCCATCTGATTTCTCCTTCGATCGGTGCCTCCATTGGGTGGTGGACAATAGTGTGAGCCACCACATCTGCCACCAACGCGATGCGTTTGCCGATTTGACGCCCTTTGCCTCTCCCCACCATATTCGGCTCCCAACAGGGGAGGACATCCCAGCCCCCCAGCCTAAGGGCTGGGCTCTTGCATTCTTTCCCCCTCTCTCACATTAAAACATGTTTTTTTTGTTCCACTTTTGTCCTTTAACTTGCTCTCAGTTTCCCAAATTGCCCTTAATAATTCTTGTGTTATCACTTTTTCTTCTAACTCTTGTTTATTTCAAGACTCTTAATTGATTAAGCTGATTGGAGCGGGTGATCTATGCATAGGGCTCTACGTGTACCGTCCCAACCCTCCTGTCATTTTTGCTGTTCAATTTATCGTAAATAAGACCATATGGCATCAACGTCTAGGTCATCCTTCCAGTTTTACCATTCCAAGTATTTTTAATTCTCCTTGTACCATTACTGAATGGGATGTATGTGCTCGTTCTAAGCACACAAGGTTACCTTTTTCCAATTATGCCATATTTGGGGTGGTTATCGCATTGTATCTTTATATAGAGCTCATTATTTTCTCACAATTGTTGATGATTTTTCTCGCACCACGTTGGTATATCTTATGCTTTTTAAATCTGAGACTTACACCCATTTAATGCACTTCTTCGCCCTTGTCCACAACCAGTTTAACACCACGGTCAAAATTATTAGAACTAATAATGGACAAGAATTCCTTTATCAACAATTTCAAACATACCTTCACAATCACGACATCATTCATGAACGTACCTGTGTTGAAACTCCTCAACAAAATGGCATTGCGGAGCGTAAACACCGGTACCTTCTAAATGTTGCTCGCAGACTTTGTTTTCAAGCACATTTACCTCTACATTTTTAGGGTGATTGTGTCCTCACCGCAACCTACCTCATCAACCGCACTCCCAGTCGCACTCTCCAAAACAAATCACCTTTTAAAATCATGTTCAATAAACTTCCCAACTATGAACATCTTCGTGTATTCGGATGTCTCTGTTATGCACAAACTCTCAATGCTCACCGCGACAAGTTTTCTCCCCATGCCACTAAATGTGTCTTTCTTGGTTACCCAAGCATACATAGAGCCTACAAGCTTTATAATCTCAATACTCAATCCGTCTTCTATTCTCGAGATGTCACCTTCCACGAACAAACATTCCCTTTCCAAGATCTTCCTAAGAGTCCCTCCCTTCCCATACCTATCACTTATCTTCCAGTCACTAACCCTATTACATCTATTTCTCCTGACTCGCCAGACCCTCATCCCCTCTTCCCTCATCTGACTCTCATGACTTCCCAACCCCCACAAACACATCTCCACCCGCTCCTACTCTTCGCCCTCCCCGTACTATTACTCGACCTGCCTACCTTCAAAGTTATACTTGTCCCACCTTACATGAGGAGCCTACGGCATCTACACCTATTTCATCAACTTCAGGTACTGCTCACCCTTTGTCTACATTTCTTTCATATTCTCGTTTTTCGCCCACATATTACTTATTTGACTGCTCTTACATCTTGTACTAAACCCCCATGCTATTCTGATGTTGTTCGCCACTCTAATTAGCGTGAGGCAATGTCTGCTGAGCTTCATGCTTTAGAGGATAACTCAACCTGGACTCTTGAGCTATATGCATCAAGAGCTATTATTCCGAAAACAACAGGCATTTTCTGGACTTTAAAGATCAATTTCGGAAGAATTTCAGACTGGAGTATCCAGATGAAGACAACTGGGGTCTTGGAATTCATGCTCTAAAAGCATATGATAGCATTACAGCTATAGAGGAAGCTATGAAAGAATTAGGTGGGAACAATACTAGTAAACCAAAGTTGCTGCTCAATGAAATTCTGTCCAGCAATTTCACTGGATTAAGTGGTGAAATTCGTTTCCATAGTGGGAAATTAAAGCAGAAATCTATATTCAAGATTATTAACATTGTTGGAAGGAGTTATAAAGAGCTAGGTTTCTGGTCATCACAATTTAACTTCTCAGAGAGCCATGTGTAGAAGAAAAGCGGTGTGGTTATTGGTGTTGACAGTATGAACGAATTGCGCAGTTTGGTAAATTGGCCAGGGGAATTGGATCGAGTCCCAAAAGGGTGGGCAATGCCTACCGATGTAGCCCCATTGAGAATTGGAGTTCCAGGAAACAATTCCTTCCCAGTGTTTGTAAAGGTAAAGCATGTCCAAAAGACAAATGAGAAGATATATGATGGTTTTTGCATTGATATTTTCGAAGAGGTGATAAAAGTATTGGGATATCCCCTGCATTATGAATTTGTGCCATTCAATGGTAGCTATAGTGAACTGGTTGAGAATGTCGCCAATAAGGTAGTACTTTCATCTGAGACATTCTTCTTTTCAATAAAGGATCTATAATATTGACTGTTTTTCTTCTTCTAGTATGAATGAGATCTAAGTTTCTTCAGTAGACGTCCGCATACATTTGATTGATCCATAAAAATTTAGATTTATAATCTGCCGAAATCCCTGCATTTTCTCCATCTTGTCAATAAGAAATATGAAGTATTCAGAACCTAAATAACTAAACATATTTACTAATTCTTGTTTTTTTTTTTCTTTTTTTGCAATGTGCATGAAAGAGCTTTGATGCTGCTGTGGGCGATATAACCATCTTAGCCGCCCGTTCAAGAACTGTAGAATTTACTCAACCGTTTATGGAGTCTGGCTTGTCAATGTTGGTTCCAGTCAAAACTGAACCCCAGATGGAGTGGATATTTACGAAGCCTTTCACTAGGAATATGTGGACGGTTACCTTATCCATTTTATTCTACACAATGTTCGTCATTTGGTTTATGGAGCATCAATCTAATCCAGAATTTAAAGGGCCAAGGAGAGATCAACTTGCAACTGCAATGTGGTTTACATTCTCTTCTCTATTCTTCGCTCACAGTAAGCATCTTAAATAACGTGACAGTGTAGTATAGTTTTCGTTGAAGAAAAAGAAACTAACATTTTGTTCGTATCAGTGTTTAATCTTGTTGTACCAGACGTGCTTAGAAATCCGACATTCAAGCATTTATGAATTATTTCTGTTTCATATCTGAGGCAATATACTTATATTTTCGGGGTTATATATATTGCAGGAGAAGAAATTAAAAGCAATTATACTAAAATAGTGGTTGTGGTATGGCTCTTTGTTGTGTTGATATTAATCTCAAGTTATGAGGCTAACCTCGCTTCAATGCTGACTGTCCCACGACTTGAGGCAAGTGTGACTGGTTTAGATTGGATAATGAATACTAATGCTACAGTTGGATGCGACGATGGATCTTTTGTAGAAGATTATCTGAGGAATTAATGTAATTAAACTTCCAAATATCAAAACCATAAGCAGCCAAGACCGTTATTCGGAGGAATTTAAGAGTGGAAATATATCTGCTGCATATCTTGAACTCCCTTACCAGAACGTTTTTCTCAAAGATCACTGCAAAGAGTATACAATGACTGGACCTACCTACAGTTTTGGAGGACTAGGGTTTGTAAGTATTCTGTAACTTGTGATTGAGTTGTCACGTTCCTGAAATTTTCTGCAAGTATTACTGGAATTAACACATCAATTTTTGTGGGTTTTCATATAAAGGTATTCCAGAAAAATTCTCCAATAGCTCGCGATGTTTCAGATGCCCTTTACTCAATATTCTCTTTCACTTCCTTGAACGCCTAAGGTTGTCATCTCACCAAAATGGTTATGGTGGGAACTATCAGTGCATCATGCCATGCCAACCATTATAATCGTAAGCAAGGATGGGTCCAGGACCGAATTACAGGCTGGGCCAATGCGTAAAAAAAATAAAATTACAGATGATTTTTTTTTTTACATAAATTTTTTTTTTAACTAAAAAAAAAAATTAGTTGGGGGAGGCTGGGGTGCTACAGCCCCCCCCCCCACATCCGTCCCTGATCATAAGGGACAATTTGTTAGTTTGCCATGCCATGTCTACAATCACTAATCATAGGGAGATTAATGAGTTCTATCATGCCATGTCTTCTATATACTGAATTCGTGATGTGAAATTGGTGAAGCATGTTTAGCAATGACAACTCAAACCTAACACCATGGATTTAAACCTTTATTTGCCTTCATCATATTCATTATCTTTCTTTAGTTGATCATGCAAGGCCTCTACATTCTCACTTTCATCAAAACTATCACAATTTTTTCTGGTTTTGTAC